GGCGCTGCTATACGGACCACGCAGGTTCTTGATGAAGTCCTCGAGCTTCATCTTCCTCTCCGGCTTCACGTTGGGGCTGTACATGTCTGTGTTGAGGAGGATGATGGCAAAGGCCAGGATAAAGATGGTGTCTGGATTCTGGAACTGCCGGATCAGCACCGGGTTACAAACGCAGTATCGCTGACTGCAGAGCGAGAGCAAAGGGAGCATCACAAACTGCACAGACGACTCAGCTCTTTGATATTTGATCAAACCCTCCGCGACGCAGTTTAATACCTGAAGGCCTCCACCAGCCGCTCCACCCGCTGGGCTTCACCCTGAACTTTGATCTGAGCTTGGAACTTCCTCAGAGCGTCGTCCAGATCCATCCCTGAGAAATCCATCTCATCCAGGACACAGCTAAAGAAAGAGACAGAAAACGCTGATCATTATCCCCAAACGCATTCCTTAAGCCTCGTCTTCACCTGCTCCTGACAGCTCAGAGGCCTGTGAAGCAGGAGTCGGGGTTTAATGCGGTCCCTTCAGGTTTAAGGCGGTGTTTCAATACTATGAAGGTAGTTAATGATTCTCTGAGGTACATCACCGCTCATACCGCCTTACCTGGTGCAGAGCATGGTATGTTTAAGATAAGATATGAAACCACTGCCTATTGACCCACCAGTGTCAGCATTTCCAGAAGATCCCCCGAGGTAGCAGGATGTCCTAAAGAGTTAGAGCTTATCTAAAGTCGTCTTTCTCAGTAAATATCAATAAAAAATACAAATCCTTGCATGGATGAATTTATTGGATGAGTCTGAGGAAACGCTGTGATATGACTCAACACAGTGATGTATTACAGGCTTTGTTCATGTTCTCAGTCATTTCTCTCAGACTGAGAGCTGCAGCTGAAACGATCTGTAAAAACAGACGTAAGTCACTGAATACTTTAATTACAGTCAGATCTTTCTGTGCTGTTAATGATGAACACATTCACTGCCAGCTTTCCTTGCTGGCTTTAGATAGACCGCAGCTTTCTTTCTGCTTCACCACCCTGTGAAGGTCTTTCACCCCAGTCAAAGCTAAACTTTCACTGTTTTCAATAATTATCGCTCAGTTAGGACAAGCCTACCTCGTAACCACATAAACGCAGACTCCTGTCCACAGTAAAACATTCACTGAAAGGACTTTAACATTTGCACTCACTCAAGGACGTCTTTGTTGAACTGCTGCCGGCTTCCCAGAAACTCTCCGATCATCTGCCTGCTCAGGCCTTTCCTCTCCAGGATGAAGCGGGCGATGCCCACTGGCGTGTCTGACACAAACCCCCTCTCGATCAGGTACTGGATCCCCTTCTCCGGCTTCCTGCAGACCAGAGGAAACACGGCCTCTTAAGTTGTTTGCTCTGGGACTGAAATTCTTTTTATTGGTTGTCTTGTTTTTATTGGTTGCTCTGTTCTACGCTGCTGAGAAGTCTAATATTTTTGGCTTTTTAAAATTCTGATACATAAAACAACTCCTCTAAACTTGGAAACTTAATTTCAGTAAAACATTCAAAGTCCAGAGAATCCTCTGTACACATGGGAGCAGGTTAAAAACCAACACTGGGTGGCAGTGCTCTCTTCAGCCCCTCGGGGAGCACCGCATTACAAAGACAAAATGATGCAGCGGAAATTAGAGCTTGGGCTCAAGAACACTTCTGAAAACCACCATCGGTCATTCACAGATGTTCAGAATCATGCAAAGAAAAAACAAACAGAAATGTCACCTCCTTCTCCTTTAAGATGTTTCTTAGTCGGGAAACACGAGTGGTAACGAGTGGATAGAGTATATGTAACACCTGAGTTTTCTTTTACTATTTTAAGTAAACGGTAAAATGGACCAGTTCTTATATTCTCCATTTGAGCACTTTATAAAACATTCCTCATTCACCCATTCACACACATTCAAACAAGCACGTTCTATCTATCTGACATCCGATGACCACGTCAGAGAGCATCAGGTTCAGTATGGCCAAGGATACTTTGGCATGCAGAACCATCAACCTTCAGATTAGTAGATGAGCTACAGCTGTCAACTCCCCAACAATCACATGACCCCCTCTTAGCAAGCACTCGGTGGAGGAAAAACTCCCTTTTAACAGGAAGAAACTCTGATAGAACCAGGCTCAGGGAGGGACCGGCTGGGGTCAGGGGAGGGAGACAGCACAACGCTCTGTGGAAGAGAGCCATCAAATAAACGAACGTTAGTTTTTGGGATCATGGAGGCCACATGATCTAACATTTAAAGCTAACATCTAACTTGTTATCAACAACAGTACGGGTAACTTAGACGTCTACGAAGGCATCATTAATGCTGAATGAAACATTCTAACAACATGACTCACTAACTTCCTCAGAACTTCCTCAGAGCGTCGTCCAGACGTTCCAAGCTCACCATGTATTAACAGACCTCTCTGCATTGAATCATACCTGTTATTAACCCCTGTCTCTCTTCCACAGCATGTCTTTATCCTGTCTTCCTTCTCTCACCCCAACCAATCACAGCAGATGGCCCCACCCCTCCCTGAGCCTGGTTCTGCCAGAGGTTTCTTCCTGTTAAAAGGGAGTTTTTCCTTCCCACTGTCGCCAAAGTGCTGCTCATAGGGGGTCATATGATTGTTGGGTTTTTCTCTGTATCTATTATTGTAAGATCTACTGTACAACATAAAGCGCCTTGAGGAGACTGTTGTTGTGATTTGGCGCTGTAGAAATAAAATTGAATTGAATGACACTGCTGCTAACAGTGTGGGTGCTTATCTCTCCACCTCCCTGCTCAGAAATAACGACACAACCAAGAAGGCTCTGAACTGTTGTCAGACGAAGAAGAGATGGTCTGACACTAAGCAGCCCCGATTGCACACTCGGGCTGGGTTACATATGTTATTCTGTTTGCTGCAGTATGAGCAGACAGTTTCCTCCATGCTGTATTTTTGTGTCTGACATCAGGTGTTACTGATCCCGGACTTATGTCTGGATTCTTTGAACTCACAGGAGGCAGGTTATCGCTCTGAGTCTGAGTCTTCTGGATTATGTTTGCAGATGTTCTTACTTGTTGAATAAGTTGAGTCCAATGCGGTACTGCCGCCGCTGCACCACGTCATTGTTGAACGCAGGCGAGTCCCAGCTGTGACGGCTCTCCCTCTGATAGGTCTGCTTTCCCAGCGCAGCTCCTCCGATTGGCTCCCGGAGGCTGTCGCGGGACGAAGAGCCGGAGCTGCAGTTGTTGACCGTTGTGTCATCGTTGGAGTTGGTGGTGGTGGAGTTGACGCTCTCGTTGTCTCCGTCAGAGCAGAGCAGGTGGTGGTGGTGGAGGTGGGGGTGGTGAGCGTGGTGCTGCTGCGCCTCCATGCTTTGGAGCGCAGAGGAGGACGAGGACAGCGGCGAGGGCGTCAGCGGCGGCAGGGGGGAGAGAGGTGTGAGGGGCGGTACGGGAGATGGCAGCGGGGAAGAAGGGGGTTCGGGGTAAGCGTGAGGGAGGTGGTGGTGTTGATGGTGCAGGTGGTGGTAGTGGTGCTGGGCGAAGTGGTGAGCGTGCTGCATGTAAGGGCTGCCGCCGTGTCCGTGGTGCATGTGCATCATGTGATGCTGGGTGTACTGAGGGTGGTGGTCGAGGATGGTGGGGAGGTGGGGGATGGGTGAAGGGTGAGGGTGGGGGTGCTGGAGTGGGTGAGGGAGCGGGTGCGAGGGCAGGGTGCGGGCCGAAGGCATCGGCAGGGGGACGTTGGAGGGGCTGCGAGTCTGTCCCTGCGCCGTGGCGACCGAGCGACCGTTGGGTTTGTGTTTGATGGTTCCCTGCGGAGATTCGGCTTCGCTGCTTCCTCCGCCTCCTCCTCCTCGCTCATCTTCTCCACTTTCACCTTCCACTCCTCCCCCCCTCCTATCCCTCTCTCCACTTCCTCCCCGCTCGACTCCTGACGGCTCCTGTTCGTACACCAGGCGTCCGATAGACCCTCGCTCTGACCTGAAGATGGGAACGATACAAAGAATTACAAATGCACATCTTCAAGTCACCTGATTCTAATGGAGCAAAGCGGTAATCAGACTGACGGAGGATTTTAAGGATGTGGAAAAATACAGGCACAACTTTCAGATGAGCATTTGCCTGAGAATCTGTGGACACTGCACAGTTATATGATAGAAACCTGTCAGTCCCAAGCGAGCCACGCCCTAAACGACTGCCACGTCATCATCTGTCTCTAAATGGGACCATGATATACAAAATGAACATTGTGCTGTTATATAAAGTAAAACTAGAGGTTGAGACTATAAACATATGAGTAAAATCACAGCAGGGTTCAGCCTCACTTTCATTTAGACCTCCTTTAAAAGGTGAACGTAGCTTCCAGGCTTGACGGTGAATCATACATTAAAGTTCCTGCAGTGTTTCTAATGGTCAGCACCAGAGATGGGCTGTAATCCGATTACTTTTACTTTTTCAAGTAACGAGTAAAGTAAGGGATTACTATTGCAAAAAC